ATGCTTGATCATTACATTATGCATCTGGTTTTCCAAGAGCACATGTCTTCACTTGCTGGAAGGTTGATGCTCTGGCAATCGATCCTCCGGGGTTTGATTCAGTGGGTCTAGTAAAGACCTGCCAAAGTGAATGCTGAGGATGCTTCTGTCTGTGCCAGTACTCCTCACTGTCACAAGGAGTGAAAGAAGCTGACAGGACCATTTCTCCCGTCGACCTCTCATTGTGGGACCATGCCAGAAAATCGGTGCAGGGTATGTCGACTCCAGCTATGCAATTCACATAGCTGGAGTTGAGTATTTTGCATCAATTTACTCTGCCATTGTAGACCTGGCCTTAGGAACCAAATTCTTGCTTGTCTGAGTATTGGTGTAATGTAATCATGGGCTTTGTCAGGGAAATACACATAGCACTGCCACATACCTTAATGGTCCCAAAAATGCTATCCATGCGCTCGTTTCATTTTCTAGTAGCAAGTGCCACTCAATTGCAGGAATATAGCATTCACAAACCAGAAATACTGAATGTAAAATTGTTCCTTTCTAACTAGGTTTTAACTTAGTAAAGTTTAATTTTAAAAGGAGAGAAATAGGAAAGAAATACCTATTGTGAAGCTAAAAATTAAGAGTTTTCATATTTAATGTACAATGTATTTGTGTACATATGTTTCCTAGGAGATGAATATGACATTGTTGTACTGCACTTTTTAACAAAGGGCAGTTGTCCAGCTTTCTATCTGAGTGTATTTTATCTCCTAGGGGTAACTGTGTTAGTCTGTGAATTTAAAAACTATGAGCGATCCTGTGGAACCTTAGAGACTAACCAAAATACATTAGATTATGAGCTTTTGTGGGTAAAACCCACTTCTTCAAATAAATTGGAGTGGAAATTATAGAATCTGGGGTATTTATAACATCAACTACAGTTACCTGTCAATTGTGGGACCAGTGTTTAATGAAGCTAAATAAGTCAGGCTGGATGTGTCCCATTCATAGCATTTGATGTGGAAATGTGAATATCAAAGGTGGGGAAAATTGCCTTTGTAGTGCATTAACCAGTTAATCTTTTCTCAAGCCGGAGTTAATAGTGTCAAAATTGTAAATGCTTTATGTCTATTTACGTGTATTTGATGTATTCCCCTTTTAAACATGCTTAGTTCACTTCTCTCCCTGGGGGGGGGGGGGGGGGGGGGCAAAGGCAGAGAGATGCATGCTTTAGTGATTATGAAATACATGAAATTTAACCACAGAAGCTATTTCAGAGAGATTGTTACCAAATAGCTAAGGCATTAAGTTACCTAATACAAACGGATAACCAGAAAAGAAGGGAAAGATCATGCAAGTTCTGTTTTCTGATAGAAAATAGATTTGGGGACAGGCAGTTCCCTGTAACTTCATGTCGCCTTGCTTCTGCATGCCTTTACAGATGTTGAACAGTTGACTATACATCTCTTAACTCAACAGCTTTGCCTTGCTCGATGTGTGGAGAGAATCTGTTGAGTCAAAAATGACCCACTCCGATAGAGCTTAGTCTTTTCCCTTACTTATGAACAGAGACAAGCAGAGTGCTCAGGACCGGCATAAGGTGTGTGCAGTGGGTTCCCCCCACACATGACCCTGCACTTTATTTTTGGCTCTGCCTGCCTGAGCAGCGCATTCAACCTGAGGCATGTCCCAAAGCTGCGGGCTGCACATGGCAGCAGCCTCCCACCTAGCCGGGTGCCCAGCCTGTGGGAGAAGAGAGGACTGCGGATACCAGTGGGGGTGGTGTTGCTGGCCTAGGAGTTCTTGGTGCTACTGGGAGAGCAGTGCTGTAGCCCTGTGCCCTGTGTGTGGCTGCCAGCAGCCTGGGCTACAGCTCCCCATTTGAACTAGGCCCGCTCTGAGTATGCTTATTTGAATTCATAAAGCAAGAGGTGCCTTTGTCAGTTGACTTAAAATTAAACGAATATTCAGAAAGCAGTCAGCAATAGAAGCAAATCATATAACGATGGTGTAAAACAAAGCGACATTCTATTTTTCCTATCACAGCAGAAACGAGGTGTTAGGTGTCCTAACAGAGGATGTGAACTATGGCAAAATAACAAATGTGCACAGACCTTTACTGCGCTGATCCTGCTCTACCATAATCATGGATAAACGAACTCATGGCAGTGTCAACACTTGAGTCTACTAAAATGTATTGTGGTAGTATTGGAATGGGTTACCTAGGGAAGTAGTGGAGTCTCCATCCCTAGAGGTGTTTAAGTGAGAGGGCCAGATTGGATATTAGGAAAAACTATTTTACTAGGAGGGTAGTGAAGCATTGGAATGGGTTACCTAGGGAAGTAGTGGAGTCTCCATCCCTAGAGGTGTTTAAGTCTCGGCTTGACAAAGCCCTGGCCGGGTTGATTTAGATGGGATTGGTCCTGCCTAGAGCGGAGGGCTGGACTTGACGACCTTCTGAGGTCTCTTCCAGTTCTGATTCTATGATAAGGGGATGGTTGGATGAAATAACATGATCTTGGTAACTAATTGACCATTCATTTCCAGTTGGAAATAGGTCAATGGAGGGATGATAGGAGTTGCTATAGGGAACTTTCTGGGTGTCTGGCTGGTGAGTCTTGCCCACATGCTCAGGGTTTAGCTGATCGCCATATTTGGGGTCAGGAAGGAATTTTCCTCCAGGGTAGATTGGCAGAGTCCCTGGAGGTTTTTCGCCTTCCTCTGTAGCATTGGGCACAGATCACAGCTGAAGGACTCTCTGCATGTTGGGGCCTTCAAAGTATTTGAAGGCTTCAATATCTGAGACATAGGTGAGAGGATTATTCTAAGAGGGGTGGGCGAGATTCTGTGGCCTGCACTGTGCAGGGGGTCAGACTAGATGTTCATAATGGTCCCTTCTGACCTTAAAGTCTATGAGTCTATGAGTAGTACTAGCCTACTGGTTTACTGTAACCCAAGAAAGCTGGTGTATTTAAACACAATAAAAACCGTGGGCTGCTTCCTGAACACACAGTGCCTAGAGGCAAAACAGCATTATCTCTCTTTGTGTATGAACTGGCATTCAAAGGTCATGGAGCATAACTTCCTTAAATGAATTGTGCTTATCAGTAACAGATGGGCAAAGCACGAACCAAGTACACGAACGCCAAATGATTTGAAGTTTGGAAATGCATTTAATTTGTCTTTTGAGTTGCCTCTCTCCTTTTTTCCAAAATAACACTGCCATGGCGATGTTTACAAGGGTTTAACTCTTAACATTTCTGAAGTGCTTGTGGGTTTACCTATTCTATGTACCCCCCACCTCAGGCTGTTGTCAGGTCTTCAGGGTTTTTAGAACATGATGTCTGGATAAAAATCTGAATTGGTGCATGTTTTGAGGGTTACCGATCCTCACCCTCCTGTGCTAGAGTAAGTCTTTTGTTCTCCTAAAAAGGGGATGAGGGGGGCTGACCAGACTTAGGCTTCATGAGCATAGAAGAAAGGGAGCTCAGCGGGTGTGGAGAAAGTTTGCCCTCTTAGTTTACCAGACTGCAGGCTGCCACAGAGGAAAGTGGGGTGATGTAATGGGGAAGCCTTTTTTAAAGCCCTGCTACAGTAGTATGCCTACAATAGCACAAGTCACACCAGGGTCCACAAATTATAGGGTGCATGCAGTGGCAGAGGGACCTCCTCTGGTTCCCCTAAAGGGTGGCAATGGCAGATACGAGGCTGGGTGCTCATCCTATCTCTGGAGGCAAGATTGTGGCTGTGGCTCAGGCTCTTAGGAGCTTGGATAGTCTCTTGGCAGCACTGCTGGGTTTTTAGCCCCGTTCCCTGGGCTCTCTCATCCTCCCCTCCACAGCAAGGAGCCCAGCTGGAGGCAGGAGGGGTGGGGGCTGCTGAGGGCAGGGGAAGGGGGGGGGGGGGGATCTGCTGAGGGCCGGTGACGGGGGGGGGGGTGCATTGAGATGGGCCTCAAACCCATTATTGCCTCAAGCTCACTGGGGCTTGTGGTAACTTCTTTCTAGAGCAGCTGCGTGGGTGAGTCTCCCAGCTGCCTGTGCTTGCCTTGTATTTCTGTAGTACGGGCTCAACCTCTCTAGTCCGGCACTAGGGCTGAGCCAGAGAATTTGCAAGCAGCACTTAGGTTTGCCAGGTGTCCTGTTTTGAACGGGACAGTCCAGTATTTGAGCTTTCTGTTCGGGAAACAAACTGAGAAAATAGAAGTGTTGGGTATTTGCTAAATCCGATGTCATGTCAAGTGTGTCCGGTATTTTTGTTGAAACTATCTGGCAACCCTAGTAGCACTGCCACTGCTTTCTGGGCTCTTAGAAAACAGGGAGGGGTAGGTTAGAGCTCAAGAACAGCGCACACCCCTGGGAGCCAGGACGGGTGGCTGTAAGCAAACTTTAGGGGACCGGGGAAACTTGGCCACACCTGTGCCACGGTGGACATTCAGCTCACTCAAATCATGCTGGACCACGGACGTGGCTGGACTAGAGCGGTT